CTCGCACACCTATAACCTTCAGGAAGAGATTGTTCTTCGCTCTCTTACTGACGAGATTCTCGGTTCTTGTATTCTTGCTGCCTCATCCCATCGGCAAATATCTAACGCCAGCTGCTTGTGCGCTGCTGCGTACGTAGTCAACAAGGCATTCAGATAGTGCAGAGAGTCGAGAGCCTTCGTCGCAGTAACGGTTTGAAGCTTTAAAACTGGACATGCAGTCCTCAATATTCGAGGGCCACTACCGTCACAAGCAGACTCTCTTATCACTGTCCTTGGATCTAGGTTACTCATTTGGGCACTACATGGCTGTCAGCTTGCGTGTTGGGTACCTCTAAGCTCTGTCACATCAAGAAGCTTACTGACATCACCAGCGGTGGATATTTTAACAGCAGCGGCAGCTTCTAGAGTAAAGACACGTCGTGCTTTGCAGGAGCAGGGTGGACAACAGGTTGTTTATGTAAGGAGGCCATCCTCATCCATGATCACGTAGATGGCGGCCGCAGGTATGAGGAGGGCTGCTGTCTAAAATTCCTCAAGGAGCAGTCGTACAAGGTTGATGAGCGGGAAGAAGCCTGAAGGGGTCAAGATTGTCACAAAGGGCGGATGAGAGCTCTGTCTCGGCCGTGGACTGTCTTGGCAAGGTTGAGAGAACAATACGCACCATATGCAATGACAGACACCGTTGATCACTTCGTAATGGTATATAGGGGTATTCCGTATCAAGCGAGAGGGATGCATTTTTCTCCCTCTGACTGTAACAAGAGTTACTGTGTCAAAACCTGAAAGTCTATTGACCTCACCGATCGGCGTTGAGTAAGATGGTCAATAATCGGCACTGTCAGCGACATGTGACGATTGTCCCTGACGACGGCACATATCGACTGAGAACGGAAGCTAGCCCAGCGTATTCTTCGCGAGGAAGGTGGATACTGTATCTAAGATCCATTTGTGCTGAAGGGCACGCCGTTGGTCTGGCTGAGTATCGATCGAGTTGCATTTCCAGCCAATTGACAGGGATTGCTGAAGAGTCACCAGGAGCCTACGTGAGATCATAGGCGACGAGGAGTACGAACTTTGTCTCACAAGTTGTGGCTACTACAGGGATCGGTCGTTATTGCGAGCCAGAGTTACTGGACCCAGAAGACCGCTAACGCCATGCTGTGACTTTGTGCATAGCACCATCTCATCACCACAGAGCAGTGGGTTCAAGCAGCCCAAAACCGCCTACTGCCTTTCAGAGTTGTGACGGCTATCTGTGGTTTTTTTTTTTTCTTTTCTGTACCATTCACTTTCCGGATTGTCATAACTAGCCTGATCAGACAGAAACTCGAAGTCCCGGGATGGCGTACGTAGACCCATACCATCCTCGTCCCCTGATGCCCTGGTCCAAGTCCTGGCATGCGTGGGTTCTAAGGGGTTGCATGTTCCCATGTTCAGGGTGACGCCCGACAGGAGCAACCATTTGTGGTCACAATCTACTGCCTAAATGGCTTTGGCACAAAGTTTGCGAAGCGATCTGACGGTCCGGATAGGACAGATGGAAGACAAGAGGCTGAGAATTATGTTTCCGGAAGCGCATCACATACCTTGCGATGGCTCAACGGGAGGTCTCAACCTAGCTTGTACTGTAGGTGTCGTCGACGATTTCACAAGCTGTGACACGGGGAATCTCAAGCTGAATTACTGATGCTCCACAGCACCGGTGTCAAGCCTCCCACATACGCTCACGACAGCACGCTATAAAACTTTAGAGATCATGACGCGTCTTCAGAGACTACGCATACATACACACATCCTATCTCATTTTACTGATGAACGTGTCTTCAAAGTAGCTCTACAGCGATCCAGCCCTGCGTCTCTGGAGTGGCGCCGTAACATCCGGAGCATGCAGCAATCCTTCTTGTCCTCCTTTTTGGACCCGTTTCGCCAAGTAAGGAGTCGCAAGAATGCCAGTGAGCCCCGGGGAGATGTCCGGCGACTGGTCTGCATGATATCCTGCAGAGCCTGGAGCACTGACCATTGTCTGGGTATGGTCTTGATCCATGCCCCTGCTGGTCATCGTATCCTTTGGCGTGACCGCAGGTCCTGCCGAAAATGATGGAGAGAAAGAGGGACGTCTGGGCCGCACAGGAGGATGTCTGAGGCCAAGCTGCCCCATTGCGGAGAAGCTACTGACCCGATGGATGAAACCCAACCGATTGCTGGGCTTCGTGGATCCTTGATTTTGGCTCATATGGATCGGTCGGGATTGAGCCTCTGGTCGGCTTTGGGACTTTCCAATCGAAAGTGTTGAAAGGAGCTTGCCAAGAGCTCTCAGGACATGCTTCTTCATCGTGGCCTGTTTCAAAGCCGGGACTTCGTCCAAGTGAATAATGGATAGGCCCATATCCTCAGCGTTGAAGCTTGGATCAGGTGAGACCTCGAAGGTCGGGAAGTTGGGGGTCGAGGCCGAGTGCTGAGGCGACCGGCGATTCGCGTAGGGCGAAGGGGGAGGCTTGAGCCGGAAAGGTAGATGACCAGGCCCGATGCTGTGGACACGATCATCGCGGAAGACCGAAGGGGGTTCTGAGCGATGATCTCTACACAAATGTCAGTCGCATCTCGAGACCACTACACACGGTTCAGGGTCTTGGTCCGACGCCTTTGGAGACTTGCATACTTGGGTCTTCTCAGTGTGATCCGTTACATCAAGACCATATCCCCTCTCATGGTCCTCATCCCCGCTCATAGTGGAGGAAGGTGTGGGCGACGATGGATATGCCTGGAGATCGGTATCAATCTGACAATAGCCCGAAGTACCTTCCAGTGCAAAGGGCTCCAATGCAAAATCTGCAAACTCGGAATCGATGGGCGTGTTCATGTCTAGCGGCGCAAAAAATATGCTGAGTAAAACGTAGAACGGGAGGGGGCATGATTGAATGTAAAAACTGCGCTTTTCCATTTTACCCCTCCCGGGAATATAATTTTCGGCATTATCGCAGTCGTGGCGTCAGAACAGTGCTCACGTGCCTTCTCGCTGCTAAATCCTGCATTCTAGCTGCATCAAAGATGGCGCTGGGCGGCGTCGATCTACGGGGCATCAGCGGTTCCATGCGGATTCCTCTCGTGGATTATTAGGATTATGCGACCGTCATTCATATTGTATGAGATACCACAACGGAACTGAGCAGGAAGTGATCGTTCCGTTCTGCCAGCTGAGTCATCTCTTGTCAGCCGGCCAGGCTACGATGGCTGATATCAATGCTGTGATGATGATCTTCCAGATTGTTTGTACAGACCCTTTCTTAGTCATTCCGATTATTCCAACTGCCGCTCTTGAACGCATCAAGCTTGGTTCATGCACACGATTACTTTCCGCCAGTTCCGCTAAAGATGAGGCAAAGGGACAGCTAAGTCCAGAGTGCAGACCTTGAGTTTCCATCCCATAGTTTCCGACTGTGGGCCCTGGACGCAGTCTGCAAATCGTGCTCTTGAGGCTGTCACGATTTGCCGACTTCATTGTAGTTGATACACCAACACCACTTGAGCACCAAGCAGCCGCGGAGCCTTGACTGAGCGTCCAGTCCCATCTTGACCCACTGATTGTTCGCTTCATGTAGTAGAGAAGTGACACCCTGATCATTAGCATGGAATTACTTTGAAGTAGCTGATATAGATGACACAACTCCTCGTTCCCTTTTTTGACCATTCCCCTTTCCGTTGCCGTGACTCAAATGAGCGGGTCCAGTCTGGCGGCTAAGTCGGCTCGGGCGTCCACGGGGTATTAAACGAGTTTACATGATTGAACGACATGTCCGTGCAGCTCAAAGTCAACTTCGCGAAGCCAGAACCATTGACGTTCAAGGAATCTTCACGGTCTGACATCGGGTCCAAGCAAAAGAGGGAACGGGCCTCTGGGTGCGGTTGTTCAAGATTCATCAAATCATGTTTAGCGGACAATGGATTCACTCATGCCGTCACGACCGCGCCTAGCCTAGCCAACGCTACGTCTTCGGCTACAAAGTCTGACATGTGCTAGGTAGCTGGCGGTAAGGCAGTCTTCAGCACCGAGATCAACGGCGTAGACCAAAAATTTTAGAACACCAAGCTCTACTGGATCAGGGTAGTGGGCTGCGTCACTTTGAGGCAATGAGGTAGATCACTTGAGGTTTGCTCGCCTCAGACAAGCATACAACTAACAGGGGAATATGATCAGAGTTGCCGGTCTTGGGGTCTCTTTTTCTTGCGGTCGCCGCTTACCTGTACTATAGGTGCGTGCTCCGGCACCTCTTCATTGTCGTCCGATTCAAGGATCATGTACCCGCAGTGACCTGACAGACATGACATTGTCAACTGTAGAGGAGACTTGCCACCTTCGAAGGAAGATATCAGGCGTATTCCCGACGGAAGCTAAGGGCCTGACTTTAGCCGATCGCTCTGGACAGCATCAGCGGCCATGGCGAAATCTCAGCGCGGCAATGGTCATTGGAATGGCAATGAACTTTCCATTCGTACTGTCACAGTGCACAAGGTGTGAAAGAACCTCAGGCTGTAGATCGTGTTGACAGGACTGTTCCGGCAAGCGAGATCATGGCTAATGACATTCACCGAGCAACTGGAACCCCGTCCTTTACTGTGGAAATGGTTGCTTTGACACACCGATGAAATGCCTTCAGTCGACCAATGTTCGGATGTGGGCTGGGCAACTTCTATCTTTGAATCTTCAAGGGCCAATACGTCGTACCGGAATGTACAGTGTAACCCTTGCCTGTGTTTACCAAAAGGATCTGATACCTCAGAGGTCTTTCAACGGCTTTGGCTAAGTCGAGCCTGCGCAAGAACGAACTCTGTGCACACATAGTACATGCGAGCCTTTCCCCTCATCCAATTCATTGCTCTGCTGGACGTCAGGAAGGTTTGGCTTCTGAGCCAGAAACATCTTGACAGTGCGAGCACTCATGGCATGTCTGTTGTCTGCATTTGCTACGCTTACATAGAAGTGTCACTGCTCCATTACATTATCATGTGAGATCCTGACCAGATGTCGCGTCGTAAACCACCTTTGCTCTTTGATCTGATCGCACAGATCGCCGGTCATAGTCTATCTGACCACAAGGACATTGAGAGACCATGAAATACAGAAAGCCCGGGATGAATTGCCGGGCCTCAGGATGATTTTGCCTCCATGCTCGACGAATGTCGGCCCTGATGTTTTCGAGATAATCGTTGAGATGATTTGCGTCCTGATCGTCCCATGCTGGTGCGAGTAACATTGTATCTGTCAGATTCAGACCAGATCCCGGTGGAGGATAGTTCGTCGCGCTCTCGAAAAAGCACATGCAGAAAGAGTTTGTCTCGATTTGATGCTCCCTAATAATATCCGCAGAGACTCTCTGGCGAATAAGAGGTACGCCAAACCTGATGCCTTCACGTAAAGTGAAAGTGACCCTTTTGACCGCTAGGCTCGGTGGGCCGGTGAGCTGATTGTAAGGCTCGAGATATTTTTCAGGGTCTGGATTGAGGTGCTGAGAGTCGTATTTTGGTATATTGACCGTGGAAGGTGTCAAGGAGCAGTCGGAAAGCGATAGTCTGTGTTTCACAAGGTGAACGCGCTTGGAACTTTCGATACCGTTTTCGAGAGTGGTATAGGTTGTCTCCAGGATGAGACGATGGGTGACTGGGGCAAGGTCGGAATTGTTGATGCCAGATGTGGACGTAAGACCAAGTGCAGGTGATGGCAGTCTCGGTGCCCCGTTCAAGTGCAGCTCATTCGGCCCGCTGCCAGAATGACCTTGCCCCGAACCTTCAGCGGCCTTGTTTTTCGCCTCGATTCCACGCCAGAGGTATCCAAGAGAGCAATTCGCGGCACACTCCCACGATTGTAGCATGTAGCGATCGACATGAACATCTTTTCCCACAGTGATACACTGCTCCAATGAAATGGTGACGGTGTATACTGTCGCAAATGGGTTGAGCTCTTCAAAACGACAGCATGTGAAAAACCCGCTACCGGCGCACATCTGACAGTCAGTTAGGCCCAAACAGCAGCTCACAAATTCTGTGTAGAGGAAAAACATCATGGCACCTAGGCCATCAATATCTTCCCTTGCGATGATCTGTGCGCGGGGCGAGGTTCCCTTTGGTTCAAGAGGAGATACGACTTTGATCTGTTTCTCGACCACGCCAATATTGGGTAACAGCTCGGAAGGTATGTCGTCAGAGGTCTTGCGCTTACCCCATCGACCGAATATGGACCTTGGTTCGCGACTGTATGTCACATCCTTGGCGGATGCAGCATACTGGGGGCTCGGTCGGAGCGCCGCCAGAAAGACTGTATGACGAACGCGCTCGAAGTCGGTTGAGAATGTAGGCGGAAGGGAGGAGGGAAGTGTAAGAAAGACAGAGAGGGTCTTGGAAGGTGCCGTGACGCCTGGAGGTTGAGCTGGACTTCCATTACAGACGTCGAACAGCAAGCTCTCTAGAACCTCGGCTACCTCCCATTTGTCACGGACTTTTCGTTGTCTTGTCACTTGCCAGACAGCTCTAAGTCCGCCGATCGATTCGGCCCCTTCGGTCCAATCGACCGTTATGGGAACAGCAGTTGGCTCCGCGGTATCCACATTGTAGAGAAGGACCGGCGGGTGAGGAAGTCGCAGACTCAAGTCGAGCATTGTTGGGGTAAGATGGGGAATGCGAGCCCGATCGTGGGAAAAGTTAAGCGCATCGCCCGGTCCCTTCGGCAGACTCGGCTCGGCACATTCGCCGAAATTGTAGCATCAACAGTTTTAGTTCCGCTGCAACATGTCCGAATCGCCTTCACCGTCGAATGGCAATCCGTCCATCTGCAGGGCCGGCTGACAGCCTGGCAAAAAAAAACCGTCTTCGGCACGGTGATTGGGGTAAGCATTGCAACAGGACAGTCGGATGTTGCGAGCCGGGGATCTTGGCGCCGCCCTCCAATCATGCATGCATGCTCCTGATTAATTCACCATTTCGTGCCGTCTGAGCCGCAAATTTCAACCCCCGACCGTATGCATGCTGTTTGCACACCGAAAATGTTGCTGTTGCCCGACTGAATCACTTCTTCGTGCTACGGCTGCTTGGACACCAAGGCTTGCTCTGAACCGTGGCGCCCCGTGCAACGTCTCTGGTCACAATCTATGCCGCCCTCAAGGCTCCCTACCCGGTGTTGTCTGTGTAATTTGTGATGCGATATGAAAAGCGAATGTGTACAGGCTGTGACCCTGTGGCTTGTCGCTATTGTGACGGCTGACCTCGATCTGAGGCCGTGCCTACGGAAATGGAATTCTCAGGGGGAGTGCAAGTGGCTTACCAATATGGTCCGGTAGTCAAATCGATCGCAAGTCGAAATCAAGCCCTATCAAATTGGACGTTGCTCAAAGTTTTGCGGCTTTGGGCTCGTACGATGCAAATTGACTCCATGACGGACGATCAACAAACTCATATGAGCACTTCAGAGTCAGAGGTGCTCTGGGGCCAAGTCGATCCGCCCGAGATGCGAAAGGCTGCCATACACATTCGTTCGGACAGATGATGTTGATTGTAGTGACTCTCGTTGCCCTTGGCTCACCAAGCCCAGCGCCTGGCACGAAGGGCAGATGTGCAGCAATGGCATGATGCCTCAGGCCCCACGAACTAGATACCCTCACAATATGACACGGCCGAGGCGGTGGACAGGGCCTTTTTGACGGGCCTTAGTCGGGGAATACCCTACTGGGCAGGCAATGACCAACAGAATCCAGCTCGGCGGGATATGTGGCGTAGCCAGGCGCAGCTTCAACAAAGCGCGACCCGTCTCAAATCTTTAGCCACACGTTTTGGCTCTGTAGGGGGCTAACGCACGATCAATTTATTTTTCCATGATCTCACGAATTTTGCCCGCGAAGGGACGCACCAACAGCCCGAGCTTAAGGGTGACCGAAACTTTTTTGGGGGCTACAGTCACCGCACCTGTGACGCCCGTTCCCTTGACATCCGCGCTGTCGCCGCGCCAGACCATCTGCAGGCCGTAGCGGTCGCGCAGTCTTTCTTCCATGCTCGTAAGCCGGGCTTTGAGCGCCTCCGGGCTCATGGCGTCTTCGCGCTCAAATTCGATATCGGCCATGGCAATGAACCTCCAAAGTTTCACGGTATGGCACAGCATATGTCCTTTGAGAAGGCGGATCCCTAAGGATGCTAGCGAAAAGGCCCCTAAGCCAAGTTTTCACCCACCCTCACCTGCATTCCCAGTATTCCCTGCTCGATGGTGCCATCCGCATGGACGAGCTGGTGCCGGCCATCAAGGCCCGGGTTAGGGGGTTAGGGGGTTAGGGGGTTAGGGGGTTAGGGGGTTAGGGGGTTAGGGGGTTAGGGGGTTAGGGGGTTAGGGGGTTAGGGGGTTAGGGGGTTAGGGGGTTAGGGA